TAAGGGTATGGTGTAAGGCAATAATTGCAATGAATGATCATATTAGGGATTAGTTGATGGTTAGGATAGCTGATAAAAGACTGTTTGCAGAAAAAGGCCTGAAGGTCATGATATTGCTCTTAGAAAAAAAAAAAGCTTGAGGAACTGAAGGTAAAGTCACAGGGATGTAGTGTTAAGCCAAATGGGGTTAATAAGTTTGAGGTCAATGATGGTGGGGATCAACATGTTGTCAAATTTAATGACAAGACTTGCACATGTAGATACTGGCAACTCTCAGGGGTTCCTTGTCCTTATGCTTTGGCTTGCATAAGGTACAAAAAGTGGAGAGTAAACCACTATATTTCAAATTTTTATAAGAAAGAAAAATATTTGGCTGCCTATGCATACCCTTTTTAATGGATAAGGAAAGGGACAAAAGTAGGGAAAGCTGTGGGTGATGAAGAGTTGTTACCACCACCTGTTAAGAGCATGTCAAGGAGGTCAAGGAGAAACAGAAGACATAAAGGTGAACCACAAAAGATTAGGAAAGGGAAGCTTAGGAAGCTTATTGGAAAAGGGAGAAAAATGACACGCAAGGTGTGTGGCAATGAAGGGCACAATCAGAGAACCTGTCCATCTAACAATGCAAAAGGAAAAAATGAGAGTGCATGAGTGAAAATCACTGTAAATATGATTACTTTTGGCTGGTAAAAATATATACTTTTTTTTTTTGATAATTTAGTTGGTGGTTGTGGTTATTTTCCCTTTGAAACTGTATTTCTCCCTTATGAATTTAGTGGATGCTTGAAGTCACATGCTTTAAAACTGTTTTTTTTTTTCTTTTTTTTGGTTCCAAGGTGAAAAAAAGAGAAAGAAACAGAGAGGTGAAGGTGCCTCAACCTCAAGTAGCAAGAAAAAGAAGGTGAGGGTCCCTATAGCCATAGCGAGCTTTACTATTGTTTGAAATCCAAATTCCTTTTTTTTATATATATAAGTTTTATAGTTAGATTGTTAATAAAGTAAATCACCATACATGTTGAATGATGTAAGGTGTTGATGTTGCTGCCAGTAGTGTGCC